AATGAACACAGTTATAGTTGAAAATTGTTTTTGCTTTTGGATATAGATACTATAAATCTGACCACAATTTTTGAAACAATTAAATATACTTTTTTCATTGATTATTTTACTTTTCGGTAATTTAATTTTTAAATTATAATCCTTATATATAGATTCTATATTTTGTTTTATTTCTTGTTTCTGTTCTTTTTTTGATTTCCATAATTCAATATGAATATCTCCTTTTCCTAATACATTTTTTGTTGGACTACTTAATGCACTTATAGCATCTTCTTCATTAATATAAGTAATAAAAGCATTTTTCTTTTTATGAATAAGTTCAAGACGAATTGAACATTTTAATTCCAAATCCTTTTTTTCTATTTCTCCAAATTTTGAGAAATATGTAATAATATCAATATCATCAACTGTTGAATCAATATTTGTTACATAAATACGATTGTCCTTATGGATAGGTTTATTAAATAATGAAATAATAAAATGTTTATCTCCTATTTGTGTTTGAATAAGTTTTTGTGAATTAAGTACCCTTTTACATTCTTTTTCAGTTTCAATTCTTTTGTTTACAAGTATTTTTATAATTTACTGCCATTGCAACTCTTTCATTTCGGCTTGAAACAATAATTCATACTAAGTGTTTTGAAAAAAAAGAGATTGAAAAAAAGAGATTCAAGGAGAATGAAAGATCAGACCAATAGAAATTCATATAAACTGTAGTTATACCTAATGAATAATAAAGTTACTTCTTAAATTGGTGTGTTTTGTTAGTTTACCTGAATTGTTCTATTAGTTAATTTATCAGACAATAATGACCATGTCTTTTCTTCAATAATCTTTTTTTAAGTACAAAAAATAATACAAATTGTATATAAAATACCTAAAATACTACATTCCAAGGGTTTATAAGAAATGTAAATAAGATAGTTAAGCTTTAGTAAAAAAGATAATATAATTATAAATAGTGGAGTGTGTCTTTGTTATACACGAGATGAAAGTTCTTTATAAACTTTCAACTGATTTCCTTCAAAACATATACTTTTATGTTGTAGAAGGTCTTTGAGAGTATTTTCAACTACTCCCTTT